GGATAGGACCATGGAACTAAAGAAGCCACAAGACAAAAGAAACTTGGATCCTTGAATGACCATGTGGAAGGTCACCCATTGAATACCTACATGAGCAAACAACAAAATTCTCCTGCTTTAGACCACTGAGGTTTGGGGGTTCTTTGTCAAATCAGGTAGCTTTACTCTAACTAATACACTCCTTACATCATAACAAGTAGACACTTACTACTCTACAATGTACACAATGAATTCATGTGTCTCAATGACTGAATAAACACTTCTCCATATACAACGAACTCCATCCGCAGAAACACTCAGAGTATGTGCACATTCTCTTCTACCTTACTCATCCTCCTGCAGACAACTACAGGTGGATCCTCTCATATGCATGTATTTGTACTCACCCAGAAAGATAACTTTCAGGAAAGATAATGGTGCCCCATGATAGAACACATTAGGTAGTTTTCACTGTAGCAAGAGAAACTGAAGCCATAGTAAACATTTCTAAATTTTAGAGTTCATTTAAATAAACAGTCAACAAATGAAGGTCATAATATCTGTACCTTGATCTTGGATGAACAGCCTACTTATCGATGTTTTCCTGGATAAGTAGTTGTTATCATTAAAACTTGGAGACTAACACATTTAATTCTCCCAGCAGGGGCTGGCAGACAAACCTCCAACTCAGAAGCTCTGCCCAACTCCAGGTCACCTTCATCAAACCCAGATAGTATTGAGTTCATTACTCCTTGGTCACGTGACAATGCCACGAGCCCAGCAATAACTGGCAGAGGTGTGGTAATGAGCAGGAAGAGAATTCATGATAGAGATTCCCCAGGCAGTGTATTCTATCTAGCCAGCCCCCAATTCAAGTCACCCTTGTCAGGGATTTCCACAAGAAAAACAGATTCGAAGGGAAAAACCTATAACAACAAATTAATTTTGAAATGCATTTAGCCCTAAATATTTTTATTTATTTATTTATTTTAATTGAATAGACCAACTAATTTAGCGATTATGAGAAAAACCCACTTTCCCCTCGGTGGCAGGTACTAGGACTATATTGCCTATATAACTTCTATAAGACTGATGAGGGAGGGTTAAAATTCAAATCTGCCTTGTGGGACAACCAGGCTTATACTTCCCAGGAACTTACTATGCATCCTCTGCTATTTTGGGAATTTGGTAAGACCCAAAAATCTTAAATTCATTATAGTAGAGCTGTATTGTATTATGTTTCATGGAGAAAAAAATTACTAAATTTTTAGCAATGTAGCTATCCATTTTTTTTATTTAAGGAAAAATTCAATTTGATTCATGTAGAGTAGTCAGGATATATAAAACAAATAATAACTC